CCCACAACCACTGCCTGCAGTCCCAGTCCCCGCCCCTGCCTGGCCCCAGCTCCCGGCTCTTTAAAAAATAAGCCCTTACTCAGTGGTTGCTGCCAGGCAGGGGAGCAATCCCTGCTGCCCCCTGCTGCATGAGGGGCTCTGCCATGAGCCCATTGGCCCCCATCCACTCTCCCAGCCTCCCCGCCCCCCATGGATGCCCCATCTGCCCCAGCTCCTGGCTCTTTAAAAAAAAAAAGCCCCCACTCACCAGCTGCTGCAGTGGCCTCAGGGCGTATGGGGGCTCATGGCAGAGCCCGCAACACAGTGCAGGGCAGTGGCGTTGTCCCCCCACTGGGCAGGAGCCAGGGAGCTGGGGCTTTTTTTTTTTTTTTAAAGGGTCAGCAGCTGGGGTGGGTAGGGCAGCCATGGTGGGGCTGGCAAAGCAGATGGCAGTCAGGGGGTTCATGGCAGAACCTCCCACGTGGCATGGGGCAGTGGGGATTGACCCCCTGACCTGGCAGCAGCCGCTGAGTGGGAGCTTCTTCTTTTTTTTTTTTTTTTTTTTTTAAAGAACCAGGAGCTGAGAGAGAGGGCAGGGCAGCCATAGAGAGCGGTTGGGGGATTGGGCTGATTTGGAGACTAGGCCAATTCGGCGGTGGCCGGATCAATTCAGGACAATAATTTGAATCAACCAATTGAATCACTGTCCTCTGAATCCAAAGCGAAAACTAAGTGCTTCACACAGGCCTAGTGTATATTCATTGGCTGAGGATCACATACCCTGTCCTATGCTTTCTATTACATAAAAGTGTCCTCTCTTGTGTTCATTTCACATCAGCTGAATTAAGCCAGCTGAGTTGCCTGGTTAGTCTGTTTGGTCCTCAGTGTCATGATTTGATAGACAGCCCCTGCTTCTGAGAAACTGGGGTGCCATACAACTTGTAACCTGCAGATCAAAAGCATGAGCATCCTCCATACAGTTCCTCTCAGTCTCAGAATAAATCACTCTTATCATACTCAGTACATGCCTATTTCCACAGAGATTAGTGAACTGAAGACAAGCCTTTTTTTTTTAAAAGGACAAATTACCTCAGAGTGTTGATACTGGGTGCTATCACATACTTCTCCTAACATGTTTTCTATTGGAGGCAGGGAAAATACACTTTTGTAGCATGTCCGGACTAGAAGTACTTTTATCTCAGGCTTCAGTGGTGGCTTCAGTTTTCTGATTAGAGAGAGAAGCTCTTTGAATGACAGTCATAATAATGTCATAAAGCCAGGATAACATGACTGTGGGCATGTCTGCACAAGATGATAAATGTACAGTACACTAATTCTACCACGCATTAGCGCGTTGTGGCAAAAGTCATGCTATTGCATTGATACACAGTAGAATTAGCCTACTGCACATTAGCAAAACTAAAAAGGCATGCACTGGTGCTACTGCGCATTAGTTCCGGTTAGTGTGCATTGAGTTGATACCTGTTATTACAGGTACTAAACTTAATGCACAGTAACTCTGGTACATTAATGCACATGTAGACATGCCCAACATTACTTATTATTTAAACACTACCAACCTTAAAAGGGTGTGAGCACTGATCACAGAAAACAGCAGAACTAAGTGTGTTTGTTTTCTAGTACACAATGTTTCTAACATCACAAAGCAAAACCCATTTGAATAAAATTCATTTAAAACCCATTTGAATAAATTCAGGGCTCAAAAACAGGAACATTTTATTATGTTCACTTTCTCAAGTTGAAGTTCATAAACACATACTTAAGACACAGGTGGCAATCCATGTTGTCTGAGATAATCAGGAAGAAGGTAGAGCCCTACTTTCGACCTGATAAAGAACACAGAAACTTAACTCTAATTTTCAAGAATTATTATTATATATAGAGCTCCTGGTATTACCTAGGATACTGATGTTGTTTTCTGGAACCCTTACTAGCATTTAAAACATACATTTTTTTGTAACTCCTAATGCTTCTATTGCATGATTCAGAAATTATGGCAGCACCATCTAGTGGGCATCCCTTGGAGTAACTAGGAACAACGGCCACAAAGTGACGGACAGCAGATTTAGGTTAGACATCAGGAAGGACTTCTTTACAGTAAGAGTTGCCAGAATCTGGAACAGGCTTCCAAAGGAGGTGATGCTCTCCCCTAGCTTGGGGGTCTTTAAGAGAGGCTGGACATGCACCTGGCTGGGGCCATCTAACCTCAGCGCTCTTTCCTGCCCAGGGCAGGGGGTCGGAATCGATGATCTACTGAGGTCCCTTCCCACCCAAACATCCATGAATCTGTGAATGCTGAATATTCATCTAGCTTGCTGTACAGTATAGCATATAGTGGTTATGAGTCTGTTTGTCATTCTACATAGTGCATGTTCTACAGTATGTATCACTGCCCTTAACTACATGGAAAATGTCAAGCTTATGCAAGTGTGCAGAATTATATCACTCTCTACTGGCTGCCAAAATAGAGGTTTTAAATTTTAAGATTATACAAGCATGAAATTTTCTTGGGCCATTACTAGTAGATGTTGAATACTGGAAGCTAATGCTTAAAATCCTGTCTTAAATATGCACTGAGTTGTCAATTTTTTAGTTCTCGAAAGTACACCTATTTAAAATGCTTTGAAACCACTTTCCTCTGCCAAACTGATCATTGCATTTTTAACAAAATTTTATTTGTAATCAACATATTTTAATAGCCCTGTCAACAAGTGAAATATATTATAAGCTCAATGTATTAACACTTAGCAGAATGGCAGCTAAATTAATGCAGCACATGCTATACACCATATAATCCAGCAGCACATTAAAATGCCAGAAGATTAATTATTATTCAAATGGTTGTGACACTTACTTCAGACATTTTGTGAATGACTACTTTGCACCCAGAAGCATGGATTAGCAAGGATTCTATCCAACTGTGTTACAAAAACAATTTGTTTCAACTATATCAAAATTTGGTTAAGACTATTGCAGTGGATCTCAAGCTTTTTGGACTCAAGGCACCCATTTGATTCCATAACTTTTATGAACTGAGTGACACCCAATTTCAAAACTACTTTATTACAGGGCCTACTTCCTTGCAGAGGGGCTGAGCAGCAGAGGTGGAGAATCATCTAGGCATAGACAAGCCTGAGCCTGCACTTATGTGCTTAGGTTATCTGCTTATCTCCTTATACTTCGCTATCTCTTCACACCTCGAGACCCCTTCAAAGAGGGCCATGGCACCCTAATTGAGAATCACTGCTTTATCATGTTGAGTGTCTGCTCTGCAGAAGGTGGTTATCTTTTTGATTTCTGTCTGGCCTTGGACCCAGAAAATATTATAGCAGCCTGAAGGATATCCAATCAATTGATAGTAGCTGGAAAACAGTACATTCTGCTCAAAAGCACATGGAGCAAAGCTATTGCTCCACGTCGCTTTCAGACTAGGATTCTGCCTGCACCTCTTTCTTGCCTTCTTGGAGGCAATTCATATTCCAGAAGATTTAAGTGTTAAAAAAAGGTTTATTGTGATTTTGGCTGGTGCTTTTGCAGGGGAATGCTAAGGGATGAAATTTTTGCACAGCTTCAAAGATGCCAGGTACAATTTGGCTCATACTGTAGCTGTAATACTAGTTTGTGCTTTGAAATCCATATGTTGATCTTTATATCTAAGAAAACAAGAGTAGAATCTGAATAAATGCAGCATCTCCAGTGTGTTCTCTTTTACTGACTTCTCAACATAGTCCATCAGGCACTGTTAGCCACCTACCCCACGGTACCTATTGCAGAAATGACCAAAACTTTAAAACAAACTCACTGGAAAATCTAAAGTACTACAGTATATTTTAATTTTTTTTTAAATCTGTCAAGGTGAGTTCCTCACAGAGAAACTCATCACTTTATGGAGTGCTTGGATTCAACCTCACTGACTGCAGGATAAGGCAAAATGGTTAAGCAAAAAAACCCAGTATTCATATTGCCTCCAAAACAAGGATTGGCAAACTCCAAGTATCAGGAACCCATTTGCTTGCTATAGTATTGACCTGTGATATGGGGATGAAATGTGAATGCTGAACTTCCATAGTACCTCAGATTAGTGACCACAATCATAGCCTGCTGGCGCACAGGGGTAGACAGCAACTGCACAGACTCTTCTTCAATCAGCTTCTACAAAACATGGAGGAGGCAGAAGAGTGACAATGAACACTAGGACAGCCACTCTAGGGTTACCATGTTTCTAGGCCCCCCCAAAAAGACACCTGTCACTGGGGGGTGGGGGAGATGCAGGGGGAATATGGTGGAGGGGGGGAGGGGGCAGCAACATGCCAGTGCCATTCCCCTGCCCATTCTGTTGCCCCTCACTGACAAGCCACACACCCCCAGGCCTGCTACTGCTCCTCACTTGACCCACTGACCCCAGCCCTGCCAGTGCCTCTCACTCCTAAACAGCAGTACCCTGCCTCCCACCCCTTGCTGGTGCCCCTCACTCCCAACCCACAGCCCTCTGGCACTGCCAGCACTCTGCGCACTCAACCCTCAGTCACCCATCCCGGACCCTGTGCCCCTCACTCCTGATCTGTAGCCCCCTGCCCTCCTTCCAGCTACGCTGGTGCCCCTCACTCCAGACCTGCAGCTCCCTGCATCCATCTCAGCCCTGCCAGTGCCTCTCACTCCTGACCTGCAGCCTTCTGCCCCCCTCAGCCCTGCTGCCCAAGCAGCTAATGCATTGCGCACACATGCATGCACACATACTCTCTCGCTCTCTCTCTCTATCCAGCTTGCTAGAGCCCACACAGGGAGCACGTGATCCCCGACAGCCCATCACTTTGCCTGCTGCTGCCAAACCCAAGCAGCCGGGCCAGGAGAACAGAAAACCCAGACAGTTCTTATTTTAAAAACTCATCTGGACGCAGCACAGGGGTCCAAAAAAGAGGACATGTCTGGGAAAACCTGGATGTATGGTAAGCCTAATAAAACTCCATCCTTATTCTGACCACTTCACAAAGGACACATAATCCTGTAACGTCAATCACTACCAACTCTAGAGGGCACAGCAGGGAATCCAATCCCAACTGGAAGAAGATCTTCTAAGACAATTATTAAAGGGCTTTTCTAAAGAAAGAAATTCAATCAAGCCTTCTTATTTATCATTCTCCTTAACCGGATTAAGCCAGTATTACAATGGCAAACGAATAGGCAGTTAAGAGAGCTAAAGGCAAATAAAGGCACCTTGACAATACCAAAAGCAGTAAATGACTGAAAGCAAATTGTTGTCACTTGACCTGTATCACACTGCCAGAGGCTGAAAGAAAGTCTCTGGGGAGGGGCTTGCTTAGGTGGGGGTGATGATAAATAATGGCAAAGCTGAGTCACTTGTGACACCCAGGGAAGGCTAGTCTTGACAGGCTGAGAGCATTCAGTTATAAAGGGTCCAGACTCCAAGTAAACAGAGCATTCAGTTTATACCTGTTTCTCTCTCCTGATCTACACAACTCAGAAGGAAAGTATCTGAGACAGAAGAGCTGACCCTGGGCTTGGCCTCATCAGTCCAAAGATTGTGTTTTCTTCTTAGTTCCTAATAGAATTCCTCAACCTTGGGAAGAATTGCCCACCCCGACAAACCCATGAGACATGAAGCAGGCATGAGAGGAAATGGAAGCGCAGAAGGGAATCTCTAAGGGGTGTAGTTTGTAGCCAGGCTGGACTGAGGACATGGGCAGACATGGTTCTTTGGGTAAATCTGATATCTTTTATTAGATCAACTCAAATAGTTGGAAAAATTCTTATTAGCAAGCTTTTGGGCACAAACACCCTTCATCAGGATGAGGAAGCATCTGCAGATGGTCTGTGCTCTTCCTGGATGGAGTTAGAAATCAGCCAGAGGCCAGTACATATGCAAAAAAGCCAGTCAGTTAAAATGTAAATTGAGGTGGTCAGTAGGTGAGAGACAGGTGGGGGTGGGGGACGGAGGGTGAATATAACTGTAGTCGGAGGATGAGAGATAGGAAGGGAATATCTGAAGTTTTGGCTGGAGGTAAGTGCTCTTTCCTCACCTGCTTCTCCTGCTCTTCCAGCCATTTTGTCCTGAGGCCAGCTCAAATTTGGACCTCAGAATTTATTCTGATAAAATGTGAGAGCAGCTTGTTTTTTGGTCAAAAGCCATATGAGTTCTCTGGTTGTTGGTTGGTGAACAGTCTAGAATATTTGTGAAATTCAGAGAACTCTGCAGTGGTTGTCATGAAGATGTGGAGATATTTTTTGTTGGTTGTGAGTCTCCTGCCCATTACCTCAACAGGAAAACTGTCATCTAAAATTTCCTTGCATGGCTCCACATACATCTCATTTTTCCTGCTGCTGGAAGAACATCTGATGACCAGTTTCAATACACTGACCTGGAGAAACTGATGGTCAAAGACTAAACTTTTCACCATGACTCAACACCTAAAGAATGCCCATGGCAAGATGACTAAACCATGTTGACTATCCAGAACTCTAGGTGCCAGCTAACTGACCCCAAAGCTTCAGGGCTGGTCTCCAAAGCGGAGCAAGAGAGGAAATAAAATTGAAGGCCATGGCAAAGAAACAGTAGTACTTTTGCTCTCTTGTACTATTAACATCTGTAGCTGTATGCTCTCCCTTTTCTTGCACCGGCCAGTCAGAGGAAGAAGGTGAGAAAGACTCCAGTTGTTGGTGAGGCCTGGAAGGCCACCCTGAAATCATTCTGAGCATAAAAAAAACTTCTACCACCTGGCTCCAGTTAGCAAATGACAAGAATAATGTGGATAATGGTAAACTGTCATGGAGGGGAAAACCCAAGCAACTGAATCCAGTTAGTCATTATCCCTCCAGGGGCTGCTGAAAGTAGGCATCAAGCAATGCTGGGAAGAGCACTTCAAGACTTTACTCAACTGTGAATCTGAGGTATCAGCTGCCACCATCATGTCCATCCCTCAGTGCCCAGGAATAGAACTAGGTTTAAACTAGGTTCACCAGGGACGGGGACACAGAGGAACATGAGGACATTTCACCATCAAGCCAGATGACGCTCACAGGTAGTACCCAGGTAAGTGACAGGGACCAGGGCAGGCTTAGAAACAAGAGGGCGGCATGCGCACTTATAGGAGGCCTCAAATGCCTCTACACAAATGTTCGAAGCATGGGGAATAAGCAGGAGGAACTCACCTTCCTGCTAGCTAGCAAAAACCCAGACCTAGTAGGGCTCATGGAAACCTGGTGGGATTCTACCCATGACTGGGCAGTAGACATCAGCGGATACAGGCTGTACAGGTGAGACAGAGCAGGGAAAAGAGTAGGGGTGTAGCACTCAAAGAGCAATACACGCCGTCAATGATCAGGATGGGCTTAGAGGAGGGGCAAAATGAAGCACTCTGGGTAAGAATGCAAGGGGGGCGTGGGGAAAGGGACTTGATAGTGGGTGTCTACTGCAGACCATCTCACCAAGGGGATGAGCTGGACCTGGAATTCTCAGGTCAGCTCATGGAGGCTGTAAATTCAAGGGATGTGGTTGTCATGGGTGACCTAAACTACCCAGACATCTGTTGGGAGGAGCAGTCAGCCAGGTCTGACCACTCACGTAGGTTCCTAGCCAGGATACAGGACCTCCAGCTAACCCAGGAGATGCATAGTCCCACCAAGGGAAATGCCTTGCTGGAATTGGTCCTTGCCACAGACGATGACCTGGTGAGCGGTCTTCGGGTACTCAACCACCTGGGTGACAGTGATCATCGCCTGCTGGAATTTACTATCCACCTCTGGGTGGTGAAAGGAAGCAGCAAGGCAGAGGTCCTCAACTTTAGAAGAGCCAACTTCTATAAGCTAAGAAGGTTAGTAGGAAAGGCATTGGGGTCTCAGAGCTTCAATGAGATGGGAGTCCAAGACAGGTGGTTGTTCCTCAAGAGATGGTCTTCTGAGCTCAAAGGGAGTCAGTTCCAATGCGCACCAAGGGGGCAGAAGTGCTAAGAAGCCCCCATGGCTCACCAAAGGCATCCAGGAATGCCTGAGGGCAAAAAAGGAGGCGTACAAACAGTGGAAGCAAGGGGCTATCACCAAGGAGAATTACATCTCCGTTACTTGGGACTGCAGGGATGCTGTTAGGAAGGCCAAGGCAGAGATGGAGCTAGGGCTAGCAACCAGAATTAAGGATAATAAAAAGTCCTTTTTAAAATACATAGGAAGTAAGAAGAAGGCAACAGGTAATGTGGGGCCCCTACAGGATAGGCTTGGCAATCTGGTGATAACAGCAAATGAAAAAGCTGACCTCTTTAACGAATTCTTTGCCTCCATATTCCTGAACAGAGACCGGGACATCTCCCTCACTAGAATTGCAGACGGACCCAGGGGAGGCACCACCATGCCTAGGGTCAGGGACAACTCAGTTAGGGAACTTTTGGAGGGGCTGGATGTGTTTAAATCAGTAAATCCAGATGCTCTTCACCCAAGGGTGCTGAGGGAATTGGTGGGGGTTATAGTGGGGCCCTGGCACGGCTCTATGAGTGCTCATGGGGCACTGGCCATATACCAGAGGATTGGAGAAGGGGCAACGTGGTCCCCATTTACAAGAAGGGGAGAAAAGATGACCCCGGCAATTATAGGCCTGTCAGTCTTACCTCAGTCCTTGGGAAGACCTTTGAGAAAATTATCAAGGAGCACATCTCCAAGAGCCCAGCAGGGGAGGTAATGCTCAACATGGGTTCATTGAGGGCAGATCCTGCCTGACTAACCTGGTTTCTTTTTATGATCAGGTCACAATGTCCCCGGACGAGGGCGTCGAGGTCAATGTCATCTTCCTGGACTTTAAGAAAGCCCTTGACATGGTTTCCCACCACAGTCTCTTAAAAAAGCCTGGTGACTGCAGCATTGATGCCTCCACAGTCAGATGGGTGGCAAATTGACTAGATGGTCACACTCAGAGAGTGGTGGTGGATGGGTCATTTTTGACCTG